GTTACTGAATGACTCCAATCGTTGTTCTAGCTGACTAATTTCAGCTTGAGCTTCACCACTTAACGTTCGCAAGGTAGCTACGCTCTCCGTCAGTTGTCTGTTCTTTGTTTTTAAGCGCCTGGTCTCAGATTCATTTGCTCCAAGCTCCGCTAACAATCTTGTGTTTATTTCCTCTGCTTCATTTAGATTTTTTTGCAATTTTTCATGTCTTAGCTCGGCATGCATTCTGCGGGTTATCATTGTGGTGGAGCTTCAACTCGTAAGAGCTACGATCCTTAAGTATGAGAAAGTAATCTTTAATTGTTGTTATTACGGACGACACTTATCTATTTAAATTTGAAACTATTCACTTTATTATTTATTTTCACTTTTACCACTTCGCAATTATTACTTCGAAATTATTCACATATATATTTGTACCAATTTCGCCAAAAAAACTATCTAATAAACAAAATTTAGCACTTTTTCTGCACGGAATTACACTTGTTTATAACTTTGTTTTCATTACATTCTCACACTTGAAAACACTGTCACTTTTGATTCACGCTTAGATTTAAACTTTAAATGTATGAATATGTAAAATAAATAAGATTAAATATTTTAAAACTTAAAATAATACGGAGCACAATGTTACGTGTAATATATGTATATATATATATATATGATATCATAAAATCATATATAGGTACATAAAGCACGATGGTACATATATAGGTACACAAAACCGTTGAAGCTATTTAATAATAACAAACGTTATAAACATAATATAGTAACAATATTTAATAGTATTAAAAATGAAACGGTACCAAAATCAATACATACATAACGAACCAAAATGTAAACTAAATTAATACAGCGTGTCGTTACCATCGCGACAATAAATGAAGACACGTCTAACGCTACTTGCCAATAATCATAAAAAAATATTAACGTTAAACAAAAGTCCATAATTAAAAAAAAAATTTTTTCAAACAAACTAATTAAGTAAAAATGAAACAAAATTTGTAACATCCTATACAACTTACGCCACAGCGTCGTATTACAAGCCTCTCCTTCGAACAGTATGTTTTGTCTCTTTTAAATTCATTCAACCCATTCATATGCTTTGTGACCTTTACAAATGAACTTTATGTTACGCTTTTATAGGTAAGGATGTTCTTAAATCCTTTGTTTTGGAAAATTCAATAACACTGTAAATTTTGATGTTTAAAGAATTTAAATGTTTAATACAACTTTAAAAAGTTATCCCCTATATGTGTGTTCATTTATTGTCGACATGCTGTATATTTAGATTCCTTCTGCTCTTTGCAAGTATATGTCCGGGCAACACGACCGCTTTTTGCATTTTATATCGATACAATATTTCTTTCAAATGTATATAATTATAGATTTGTTTTTCAAATACTTGAAAGACAAATCTGAGGTAAAGAAAACAAGTTTATCAGATGTGTGTACAAGAAGGCATAGCAGAGAAGTCATAAAAGACCCAAAATTAGAGTAATAAGTAGATGTTATCGCAAACCGTTATACTTTGTTTAAGAACAAGGTTCTATAGCAAGATTGTATAATTAAAGAAGACCATAATTATCAGACGGGACCAATACGGAAGTTACAGACGTACTGACAAATCTCTATATTTGTCCCGTGTTCTATTAAGGCGAAGAAAAAGAAAATCCAGTATTAAATAAACATTTAATCATTTTAAAAGCGATTTCATTTGACTCTGTATCATTTATAAAAGCAGATGACTTAATAAAAATGGACTGACTCTTTTATTTTATCAGATAAAGAACTATGTAAATTTAAAGTGTAAGATTGTAAACGGTTTTACACAGATTATTATAATGGTAGTAACCTTGAAGCTATGAGCCGCCAAGAAACCCTTAATCTTCAAACTACACACTGTACATTTTATAATGTGACACGTAAAATCACAATTAACAATATTGAGTCCGTGAGGCGTATTTGATATTCCTAATTTAAAAAAAAAAAACTATACTTCGTTAAGGATAACGATACATACTCTATATCGTATTCATGTTGGTCGACTCCTAGGTGTCTTGTAAAGACAAAAACAGTATCTTTGTTAGAAAGAATGAGCACTTTAGTATTCTTAGAACGTCCTACGTGTACGACCTCCAAAAGTATTGTGGTATGCGGGAGTAACTCAAACACGTATCAATAACATGCCGCTATGTACGGAGGAAATACTATAATCATTTTACTGTCGCATATTTTATTAACATTACACATCTCTCATTCTGCGGTATTCTTTAAATTGAGATGTATGCATATCACTAAGTAACAAACATTTCGCTCCAATGTTAAAACTCTTTCGCAGCGACCTAAATTAAAGACCCTTATGCATACACCTTCAATAATAGTATTGAGAATTGTTTAAACTAAAATAATCTCGACTACACAGGTGTCCAAAATGTCAAAGCTGTAAGCACTGGAACGCGGAAAGGTGTCGGGTGTAGCCAAAGGAGTAAAAGTAACGGCCTATATGTACCACTGCTAGGCAAGGTTCTCCTCTACACAGAGGGCATTAGGGCATAGTCAGAGTTCGCGCCTAATCCAAAAATTTCATCCACACTACCTTGATCCTAGCGTACCACAACAGCGTGATTTTCAAGGCATTTCATGCCCTGCTTTTTTTTGTTATTATTTCGATAATATGTAAGTTTTTTTTTAAATTAACGATTTCATAGGTGCCTCAGAAGTGTATGATATTGATTAATTAAATTTATAAATCCTTAATAAATATTGATGAGATAATAAATTTATAACTTCAAGACAAAAAAGTATGCTATACTGTGACAAAAATGTTACAATGTTGGAATTATCGTAGTTTCTTAATGCAAACTTGACAGATTCAATTAAACTGATTCAATTGCTTTTCCCTTTGTATCCCCTCACAATCATCACCATGATTATCCTGATTCTCCTATGGCCACAGTCGACGTATGCCTAATGTCGGTGGTAGGGTCACGCAGCAGCCTCGGCTGTTGCACGAATGGGCAGGCCCGTCCGGGTAAGTACCACGACCTCACAGAAGACCGAAGAAGCGTAAAGTGAAAATATGACAAATACGTTCGCATTTCGTCTGGTGAGTGAGGTAGCTGGAGCCCAATTTTAAAAAGGTTGTCAACGCATCTGTAACCCTCGGGTGTGGCAAATGTCCATGGGCGGCGGTATTCACTTAACATCAGGTGAACCATCTGCTTGTTTGACAACTTTTCGCATAAATATAAAAAAAACTAAGTAGGGTCTGTCATGTAAGTGGTTTTGGCTAGGTTTTTTTACGACCGGTAGGCTGCCTGACGTCAACCCTCCTTAGATACAATCAGATCTCTGATACAATTATCTGCAGTTCACAAAAATACGCCCCCGTGCCGACGCCAGCAGCTTAGCAAATACGCTAACAATTTACCTCGTCAGAATTATCCTGTGTACCTCAGTGCTTTTCTGTTTTATGTAATAAACATTCAATATTACCTTAATAATTATAACAACGAAATCTGTCAAAAAACGCATGTAAGAAAACACTTTTCATCACTCATACATAATTGTCTTTTTTTTTTATGTGAGAAAGTGCCAAACAAGCTTGCGGTTCACATGATGTTAAGTGATAATCCCTCACTGACCAGACGGGACTCGGAAGTGCAACACTTCTACTTTACGCCGGTCTTCTTTGAGGTCATGGTACTTACCCTGATGGACCTGCCCATTCTTGCAACAGCGAACACTGTTGCGTGGCCCAACCATCGTAAAATATCTATATCCCCAAAGCTAATGCTTTTTCAGAACTGTTTGATGTTTGACATGTTGAGAACAATACAACACAATAATAACAAGAAATGAAAAGATATTGAAGCAAGTTCAATTCTTTGAATTGTCGTCTGTTCAATACATCATTTGGAATTAAGAGTTATAACATTGACCATGAAAATTGATGCTTATGTATGGCATAAGAAACTATAATACCTTTGGTATGGTAAATAAATATATTATAATAACGTGACTTGTACACTGATATTGATAACAACTAAAGCACTAGATTGAAGTCACAGTAAGAACAAGACTTGAAGTTAGGTACTTGTCCTTGTCAACCAAATTAGAATGTATTACTCATCCTAAGGCTAAGCAGATTGCAGTAGACTTATTTTATTAGCCACAACTGTTATACTAACATGTGCAAATCATGTATGAAAAGATATCTAAGACCTCTTAAAACCACCTGTAAAATTTTCCTTGGTTATGTGCAAACACCGCTTTTTCAACTAATTCAAATGAATAACTGTGGATAATTATCACTTCAAAATTCAATACATAAATCTAATTATTTATTTTTTGTAAAGAGAACATTATCAATTTCTGTTCTATATAAGTTATTAAAGAGTTGTTTGATTGAAAGAGTCGCCACAGTAAAAGATGAAAGTGATTAAAAACTAATTGATTAACTTTAATTGTCAATTTTATAAATTTTTCAATGCTACTGTACCTATTTAAATTCTTATTGATTAAATGTGTTAAAAACATGAGATTGGTCAAACGGCAAGTTATATAAGAATGAGTACTTGAAGGAGAAATAAACACATTTATAGGAAATTGTGCATTGACTTTTCTGTACCTTAGAGGTAAACAGCATAATGCTGCAACAAATTTTATGTGTGGTGTGTATCATTGAATATTTTATTAATTAGGTGTTGTCAGACTAAATGCTTTATACTATTGTGTAGAATTTGTTCATTCAATTTTAAAGTTGTAAGAAAAATAATTTGAATAGCTGGACTTACTATTGTATTCCTCTGAGGCAGATTTAATAACTTAGATTTTAGTAAAAATAGTACTTCATGTTACACAAATTAATAATGCATTAACCTGTTTAATTTGATAAAATTAAACAGTTTTATAAATTATTTGAAGGCATGTGAACATATGAATGCAAAAATTCTTATAATATGTAAAAATTGTAAAGGATGTTACATTTTACCTACCTATATACATAACAACAGTCCAGACAAGGATAACTCTTCTTCCCACTGCTCCATCAATGTTCCAGAACCAAAATGGTATGAATGTTGCATAAAAAATCTCATCACCAAGAGCTGTGCCAATAACAAATAGCCAGTACCAGAACTTATTACTGATGTGGCATTCCACTTCATCTTTTCCCGTGCTTTCTGCGGAGGTATCAGTGTCATACGAAGATTGGGAGCTGTTCGATATATTACTAGGAATTCTTTTATGTTGTCTTATATCCACATCACTGTTCTTTCTGTCGAAAGTTTCTGAATTTGTAACTTCATTAGACTCTTCGGTGGATATATTTTTATAGATGACACCGAAAAAGTTCTGGACCTTAACCACCAACAATGGATCTTTCAAATATTCAATGAGATCTTCCCACATTGTGCACTTTAATTAAACTATGTATTATATATTTTTAAATCACTAAACTTTTAGCTCACTAACTTTTAGACACTGGCGTTTTCTTGAACTGATACCTCACAAATGAGTCAAAAAATATAAAAATGAAATGACTGATAGGAATGATAAAAGTTCATTTTTACAATATCCGAAAAAAAATATTATCCGATTTTTATGTGGTAAACGTAGTTTAATGTTTTCAAAGAATATATTCAGTATCCAAACAAATAGCAATGAAAATAAAATAAGTCAGGTATCTTTAATTAGCCAAAAAGTCTAGATACCATCAGCCGCGCTGGGTCTCCTCCTCATGACAGATGTCAAATGTCAACTTCATGGCACTGTTTCGGTATTTTAACGCCCGGTTTCATAAACACTGATCGTAGAAGTCAACTAATCAGCTGTCAAATGGGTTTTCAAGTTATTTTGTTTTTATTTTATTTTGGATTTTCAAAAGTTAAGTTGCCAAAAGGATTGTTAAACTCTCTGAATTGATCAAAATGATCTTCTTCATGATCAGAATACCGGAAGAAACCGGGCATGCGTAATGGCATCATCAACAGACTTGTGTGCTTATCTTTATAAATATGTAATTCTTCTGTACGTGTGTATTTCACTGAACTCAACTTAAACGGCTGGACCGATTTTAAGAAAATTTTGTGTGTGTCTTCAGGTGAATTTGAGAATGGTTTAGATTCACAATTCGGTCCACATTTTTTATATTTTTTTATTTATAAGTTCCCCTTATAAGTCGGGTCCGCTAGGTATAAATGGCTAGAACAGTTTACCATTAACATGGGGAAAATTTTGTATGCGTTGCTTTAGTTTTGTTTTCAATACATTAAATGACGTGTTATATATATTTTATACAAATATTTTAATAAAGATTTGAATTATAAAATTACTTAAATAATAGGAATAAAATAATATGAAACTCACCATGCGATAAAACAAAACATTTTTTGTATTAACCTTAGTAGACACAGCCCCTTTTTAATTTTACACCTTTCTCTTATTTCAATATATTTGTATTATTTTATAAATCATCTCCGAGTACTGGCTCCTTAGGAAACCTAAAACATAAATAATGAAGGAGTTTGAAAATTGTTTTAAAACTGCTCAATTACTACGATAAGAAGAAGTGGTTGATGTGACGAAAGAAAAACTATAGAAAAACAGATTTTTGGGTACTAAATTCAATTGGATACACAAGAAAGAACTATAAAAACCTCCACAATTATTTTCGTATAGCTGCAATTAGAAAAATTCCCTGAATGTCAACTTTGACGGCAGAAAATTAGTTGTTATTATTAATATGAAATAAAATTCTACGTAGCGATTGATTATTCCAGAGACTGTTAAAGGAAAGGACCCCTTCCCTTATACGTCTGTAGATTATTCAGAGACGTTACATCTGCAAAAATAAAACTAGAAGTTTAAAAACAGAAGCTCTTTCTTATAATAATTCTATTCGGGAATAATAGTAACTATCCCCGAAGTGATCAAGCTCTTGAATGGTAGATGTGGCTAATGGGATCATTTTCAAACCGAAAAGACGCTTAAGGAATGATAAGAAAACTATTTATTTGAACTTAAATATTTTGAAATTATTTTAGACCAAACGTAATCATTATGAAATTCATGTAAAATACAAGAGTTATGTTAGATAGCTAGACATATTACTTCTCCAAACGATTTTAACGGAATAAATCAAATATGACAATTCAGTCGGAACAAATAAAACTAACATTCCAAAATTAAAGTAATTCAAAGTCAAAAATAAAAAATTAAAGTAATTAAAGTAATTGTATTATGTTTATACATAAATCAAACAGGTCACAGTTGACATCAAAAGAGTATGTATAATCTGAGATTACCAATCAACACAAGCTACATTTTTCTCCTGAGTACGCTGGTCATCTGCTTGCAGACCTCTTTTGAAACAGTCCACAAAGCCGGACTCACAGCAAAGTACAGTACATTCTAAAAAACTTTTTTGTAATAACTTATCTGTGGAACTTCAAATTGATGTCAAATAATAGAGGAGTACAGATAATGAAAAATGGGAATGAAAATAATTTGTTGATGAATAGGAAAGTTAATTGTACCGCAAGTATTTACAAAAAAGTTAATAAGAATTTTTTTTTTCGTTAGTGAAGCTTATACTATTCTATAGAAGACACCGAATATTCCAAACTGTATTATCTAACGTTGAAGGACTCTATTGTCAAAAGTTGGATGTAAGTTTATTTTGCATTTTCTTGTTTTGAATTCACCGTATGTAGTAGGTATGTTAAAAAAATAGTAAAACCAGATGTTGCATAGATTAGCCAACGCATTTAAAAAATATGTTAATTTATTTTTATGGTGGAGGCAATAATTTAATTATAACTAGTAAAATTTATGTTGATAACTAAAATTTTTCTTCCATTTCCTTATTTTATTGAAATATTATATTAATATATTTTTTTCCAATTCGTTTATTTAAATAGATTTTTTTATTTCTAAATGGTTTGAATAATTTTGAAATTTTGGTGTGCACTATTTTAATAATTCAGCACGCCATATCCAATTACCTTCCAGCTGCTAGCCTGTTAAAGATTACTGCTTAACTTAGGACTCCCAATATAGATTGCAATGAAGTATGATATATGTTCATAGATGACCTTTTTTTTTTAAATAGTAGTTGTATATCATTCGGTTGTAGTTATTGAAGGGTGAAAGTAAACCTTTAGAAAATATTGAGCTGCCTTTAAGGTAATTAAAATAGCTACACCCAGTTTCAAGAATCTTTTCACATTTTATACCTAACAAATGAAAGATTACCCATTTCAATGGTAAGTGGTTGTGGTACTTCCATGAATGGACTGTTGCGTGGCTCTATCAAAGATGAAATAGTTTTAGCAAGTCATAATAATATAATGTTTTAATGTACATATATCATCACAAGATGAAAGTTTCATGGTAATCAAACATGTAGCCATGGACATGTTAATATCTGCATTGTTGTGATGCCCCTCTTGAATTTTGATTGTTAGATTTGTAACAAAAACCTATTTTATTTATTTATTTAACAAGACTTACCAACTAAATACATATTTTTACATTTTGGAGGTTTGTATATTTCTTCCAATGAATATACTTATACTATAAATAAAACTTTAGCTCTAGGGGTGTTACAACATTTATGTATTTATGTTTGCTTTAAAAATTGCATTACCAAAACATCTTTTGCCATCCTCAGATTTGTTTAATTTTGTTAATTGATTAACCTTCTCAATGGACATGTACAGAATTGTTTAGATTGTCCTTGCGGTTTAATATAGTAAACCCTGCTAATAAATATCATTCAACAAATGATTCATAAAAGTATGGGTAAATTCTGCTTTACTTTGCCCTTTTGTGAGGTTATGGTAAGTCTCCATGCTGTGGAAAGTCAACCTTATTATCATATATATTGTTTACTTTTCAACTGACTTCAAAAAAGGAGGAGGTTATCATTTTAACTGTATTTTTTTTTATTTTTGTCACCTCAGAACTTTCAACTTAGTTCATAATTGTTTTTTTATTTGAAAGCTGGTGCTTTCCATGTGGTCCCATATTAATTTCATTGGTATTGGATCTTGGGCTCTGGAGATACATAGGGAAATCCTAAAAATCAATTATATAATGAATACAGAGCAAGATATTTGAAGTCCGTTTTGTTTTTCGTTAATAAAAAAATTGACTTGTTTACATAAATAGATAATTCTAGGAGTACAGAGACATGGGTATTTTTAGTGCTGGTTTTGTCATTCTGGTAGGCCTTTCAAGATGGCTGAATTAAATCAAGTTAAGTCAAAACTATCAGAAGAGGTGTTGCCGGTAAACGGTTGCGGACAGGGCGCAAACTAAATTAATGTTAAACACTAGACAAATTAAATCGGCTAACCCGTTCGTTTGACTTAATTCGCAAGGTTCACGGTAAATGCGCAAGCGATTTTGGTCTGAGATCGTATCCAAAAACATTTTCGGTTGGTTAGTTTTAAGCCACTTGAAAGGCTTATCACTTTCCTTGCTAAGCCAATAGAAGGTTAACAGAAACAAACGCCTTAACCCATTAGAAAAGCTTAATCAAATTCTAGTTTTCTGGACCCTGTATAGAGATTTCTTACATGGAGTGTAACGTGTTCTCTGCCCATAAACAGATAACATTTTAATTTTGTTGTTGTTCATTCACAATTAACTGCGTGCGAGCATCAGTTTATCTTGCGGACGATAACATTGTTAAATATAAAGTGCTATCGGCGCTTGTCGGTCTTCCATATGTTATTAATATACGCCAAATTGAACACGTCTGTCTGTGTGCACCAAAAAGTTCTTTTTGCCAAAAACTATTTCCCATTTTCTGATTGATACTGATGATCTTAAGGTTTACAGGTACAGTTTTGTGGTTCAAATGTATTGTTTATATTGTTTCAATCAAGAAAAAATTATTGACTTCTAATTGAATAGCGACGAATGCACCCATTCCGTGAAGTCGTTGCTTTCCATTATTATTTTATGTAAATAGTTAGCAAACCAGGTGGTTCACCTGATCTTAAGTGATAACCTCATCCCATGGACATCTAAAATACTAGAGGAGTTGCAGATGCGTTACCGACCTTTGAAGAAAGTGGCTCCATAGCATTTGATATTCCATAAAAGTTCAAACTTAGCATCCGTTAATTTTTTCAATATCCTATCGGAATGTTCCGTCCACGGATGATGGACAAATGGGGATGAACATGTTTACTTTATCCAAAAATCACTTGTATCTTCGCAAATTTGAAATGTTACAAAGTGGCAAGGCTATATATAAAATTAAAATATATAAAATTCTCGTGTCACGGTGTTTGTAATTGAATTCCTCCGAAACGGCTCGACCGATTTTCGTGCAGTTTTGTGTGCATATCGGTCAGGGTGGTGAATCGGACAACATCTATTTTTCCTCCCCCCTAAAT